GTTAGTGTTTTGCTAGACGAAAAGCTCTTCCTGAAAGTGAAATGAACAAATATGTACAAAGATTATTAGAAAATGTGTGCAACCATTTTGACCCCTGAGACTAAAGTTCTAAGGAAGACCAGAAAATAAATTATAATGTATGAAATCTAGCTCAAAAAAGAACAACTTTTAGAATTATTTGATAGTTCACTAATACATCTCATACTAAGAAGAAAAGTTAAAAAATTAAGTAAAAAAGAATGCGTCAAAACAAGCACCATCTTTTCAATCTAAAAATTTAACACAGGTAGCACCAATGATTCCAAAACTTTTATCTACCCTCTCCAACATACATACCAAATACCTTGTAGTCTTGTATCAAAAAGCACCTTTATAGCTTCATATAGACTTTTATCCAGGTGTGCTCATCCAAGAGAAGTATTAGACATCTCACATGATCCCATGAGACTTACAGTGTGGGTCATACACAGTTCATTCACACAAGCAGCTGATCTCCAAGAGCTTTACCAGTCCAAACCTCAATGCTGAGCATTTTCAGTTTTACTTCATCAAGGTTTAAAATGTACAGCGGCGTACTCAACCGTAGGTAGAGCAGAAGAGATGTTCAGAGCAATACACAAATCACCAGGCTAACTAGATGCAATGAGAAACTACTGGAGGGAGGGAGGGAGAAAGGGAGGGATCATGGAAATGCTAAGTCAGTATCAGATAGATGAAGTCTCTAATCTAATTCATTACCCCGCACTGTAATATATAAACTGAGAGAATAGTTGAATGTGTCTCTCACTGGGGAGGGGCCTCTGACTGTCAGGACAGGAAGAACTCCCTCTTCTATCCATAACATGGGATGGGAATACATGGTCTTTCTTTCTACCTCTGAACCAGAGATGAGCTGATTAAAGAAAAGCAGAATTAAAGACTAGGCAAGGTAAGTCTTTCCCTCCTACAGAGAAATACTAACTTCTGTGGCAGTGAGTAAAAGTGGAAAACAGTGAAAATAGTAAACAGTAAAAGGTAGAAAAAAATACAGGAAGGAAAAGCAAAACCAATAAACACATTTAAATATTAACAGATTTGTAACACAGCTGTTTAATCATGAAACACTACTTCAGGTTCAGAATTGTTGCATGCCAACAGAGCGTACAAACTTTTGTAGTAAATGTAGGACCAGCATGAAGTACACTGGCAAAATGTATTTCTCAAGCTGTTGAACATGACAGGACAGTCCTACAGCATCAAGATGGATTATGTGTACCCTCTCCCTTTCAGGATCCCAGCTACAACACTAATGAAACAGTAGAGATTCAACAATTTTGTCTGAGGCTTATGTGCAAAACCCAAGGAAGTGGGTGCGATGAAAGAAACAGCAATGAGGTCAGTTTTTGCACTATGGCATAGATCCTTGAAGTATTTAAATAAACCTAAAGACCCATTTTCAAAAGTGATCAAATCTAGCATCAAGAGCAGAGAAGTCTTAATGCTACTGAAAGTCAGTGCAGTATAAATTCCTGTTCTGCTTAGGAGCCAGGAAATCGAATACCATGTGAAACCCTGGTATCTAAACACTGCAAGCATCTGTGTTCTGTATTTCTCATATTTGGATAGGGAGCTGTTTTGTCTCTGTGCAGAGAAATGTGTTAGATCAATACTAGACCTTATGAGCAAAGAACTCAGAGCCTTTTCTCTTCCTCCACCCTCAGCTAAGCATTTCCTGCCCTCACTGCACTTCTGAAGTGTGATGTGAGCTGAGCATTCCTCTCACTCTCAAAGTAAGCATCTTTAAGAGATCTGCATAAAAATAAATCTCCTTGAGTTTATTCATGTTGCAGAGCCTTAGTCCTGCAGGAAACTTTCACTTTTCCTTTGTTGCCTTAGAGGGTACAACCTGTCCCTGCTGCGCACATTTGGGTTTGTAAGTGGGTGGAGTGTCTTGGAAGTATTGTTCTCTTGGGGACATAGTGACAAGCACATACACATTCTGGGGACATGTGATTAAAATATTCTTTTATGTAAAAACTACTTATAGCTCTTGAAAAAGATATCAAAATATCACTATTGTCTTTCTTGCCAAGAAACATATGCTGGAGTCACAATCCTAGAGGTCACTCCCCTGAAATCAAACAAGGGCTTAAGTGATCTACTGGCTACATGGGCTTTGTGCTGTCTCTGTATTAGTGACATTTCAGAAGCCCAAGAGAGTAATACTGACTGAAGATCTTTCAAATGCTAACAGTAGTTCAGCACAGGCTTTGTCTTTCTGAGGTTTAATCTCAGTTTCGTTCTCTAAAGACTGGTGGCATAATGGACAACGTCCCTTGCCTCTTGCTCAGACAAAGACTCAGTTAGTGTAACCTCTTTGTTTAAACTCTAAGGTCTTAGGGGCAGAGACTGACAATTTACAATCTGGATGTGAAGAGCCTACTATTAAACAGGGACCTGATCTGGAACCTCTGGGCAATGCTGCAAGACAAGCACTAATTACAGTGGTGTCATCTTGTTATCTGAGCAAATGACTGTAACGCCTTCATTTTCCTTCTGGCTCTCCTTCCACCTACCTTTGTTACCTCAACTTAGCTTTATGTCCTCATGTAAACAGAGATTTTATTCCCCATTTGCTTATCTTACAACTTTCAGGAGTTATATTTGCATGTAGCAAATGGTCGTTGAGAACTTCCAGAGAAAAAGAAAAAAGCTGAGTTTCCCAGAAATGTGAATGAGCACTAGGCCTGTTTTAGAAAGCAGCTGCATAAAGATATACATTTGTGTATGTCCCTTTTTGGTCCTTCTTTACAGGTAGTTAGACAAAGTAGTGAGCCACAAGTTTTGACTCTCCAACTACTGGCCTAAACACAGTGAAGGATTTTAAGCTCCCTTCTCAAGGTTTCAAATGAGTTGACCAAGATACACTTAAAATAAGAAATAATTATTACATAGCTCTTCAGTCATACTGCAAAACCATTTTACTAACTGCATAAACAAAGTTTCATTCTCAAAAGTCAGTATCAAAGCTAACATTAAATATGCAGAAATTTAAATATCTGAATAGATAACGACACATCTTAAGAAGTATGTAGTTTGCTTTGTTCTTGACCCCCTCCCCCTACACTCCTCTGGTCACACAGGCCCCTTATTGCCACAAAACCTCTCAGCCATTAGAGGTGTTTATTTATTTCTGGGAATGTGAGGATAAAATGAATAGAAAGTCCTAGATGAACCAGTAAAGGTTCTTTTGGTATTTTAATTTTTATTGCTTATTTAAAGCTTTGGATTATGACTTTCTTTTCCTGAGGAATAAAATGTCACATCAGCAAACATAATGAGATTGATGCAGTTAGTGTGAAGATATTGTAAATACCCAAAAGAGAAACAATTTCACCGCTGAACACAGTGGAACTGTGCTTTGTGATTTAATCCTTATTCACGTAAGTGATTACAGAAACAAAACTTCTACTTTAAGACTAATATATTTCCAGCTCTATGGGAAAGCAATTTCATAGAAAAGTTCATGTCCACCTTTCTAGATCTTCTACACAAAAAATGGCCACATGAGAATTATATCAAAGTTTTACTGTTTTCAGGCACATTACCAAAATAAGCTGTTTAATCAGTAAACTACAATATTAATAATTCTAAAATAGTATCAAATTTTTAAACATTGACTATTACAATCTTTCTAATTTATATTCAATATAATACACTAACTTAATATTTTTACACAATCCCAGCAAATACAAGCCCCCCCCCCCAAATAATTTTCAATATATCAAATGTGAAAACCAAAAGCCAAACATGGAAATGGGACGTTTTTACAAGACTATTTAGAGTTCAATTACATTCCCCATAGAAAAGTTCATCCTTTGCATTCCTTTAAATACAAAGTAAATCTTGGTGAGGAGCACTAGGCAAAATGGGGTTGAGATTACAAGTGATTTTAGAGTTTCTCATTGAGGCAATGTAGCAGCTTGAATTCCAATCTGCTACAAGGCAAAATTCCAGTGACCTGTTTCTGTTCAACTTTAGCTAGATGGGCTCAACCACTGTATATTCCATAAGGGTCTAAGCAAATTCACTCCTTAAAAATCTAGTACCACCCTAGCACCTAACATGATTACATAACCTTCCTTCTTTTTGCAGCCCGCGTGTGGGGCATGTGGAAGCATGTACGGCGTAAGGGGCAAAGTCCCCATAAAGAAACTTCACAGTAGCAAACCAAAGGACCACAGCAGTCCCTCTGAAGAATTTTCTCAGCAAAAAAAAAAAAAAATATATATATACAGTACAAGTCTATCCTGGACTAAAGGCTAAACAAAACAAAACAAAACAAACAAACAAACAAAAAACCCCCAAAAAATCATCATCCCCCCGCCTCCCCACGCTGAGAGCTCGATGCTCTCCTACCTCCCAGGCTGACAGCGAGCGGACAAGATAAGGCACGGGTTTGATTCGAAGGGATTGCAGGCTGCCGGTCAACCTCCCAGGGCAACGGGGCTAAGGCGCGGGGCCGGCAGCCCGGCCCTCCCGTGAGAAACTCGGGGAGTTTTGTCCCGGGGCGGGGGAAGAGCTCCGGGCTCCCCCGGCCGCCGGCGGGACGCGGACGCGGGGCTGCAGCCGGTTCTCCCGGCCCCGGCGAGCCTCACCTCCCCAGCGCGGGGCACCGCCGCTGCTCGCCTCGCTGCAGCCGGGGAGGGCTCCACGTCCGGAAGAGCTCCCTCCCGCTCAGGGAAAATGCTGCCCAGGAGTCAAAAGAGCCAGAGCGAAGAGGGGCATGGCAGGTCCGGGGGAAGGGGGCCAGGGAAAAGCCCCTTCCCTCGGCACACGCCGGCTGCCGCTCCCCTCAGCTCCCCCGGGCCGGCTGCCGCTCGCAGGTGAGCCCCGGAGTTCAGCTGCCCGGAACGGCACGGTCCGGATAACACATCCTGCCCCCAGAACCAAACAAAAAGTGTAAAAAATAATTCATCCATAGCGCCCTACCTTTTCCTTCGCATACCCACGCACTTTACCTGTTTTTATGCCGGGTTTTTAATAAATTCCTTCCAAAAGGAGCCATGATCCCAACGGCATAACATCAGCGATCCCAAAACAATTCGAGGGTGTTCCCTTCTCCCCTATTTTTTTGCCTGAGCGCCTTCCAGCTTGTTAATAGTCACCAAGCGTAGCGATGAGCTGGAAGTTGTGCAATTTACTGCTAACTTTGAACTCCAGCTTGTTGCTGCTGCTGCACCTTTGGAGTCCTGCCCAACTGCGAACTTGAAGGAGGTGTTTAGAAGCAGGAAAAAGAAAGGGGAGGGGGGGAATACGCACTTGCTCCTGTGATGTGGAGTTATGCACAGAACTTGCTAAACTTTCAGCCTTGTCACCCTCAGGGCAGCAGGCAGCAAATGGGAAAGAGGGGGCTTTGCTCCCGTGTGGAACTCCGTAAAGGCGCACACACACACACACACACACACACGCACAAAAGCTCTGAAAACTTTCCCCGGGAGGCTCCAGCCACTTCAGGTCAAGTCGCTCAGCTTAAACGCACGTTAATGAAGGGCAAGCTACAGTTGCCACACCGGTTCTCGGTGCATAATAACCTGCCTTCTCAGTACCTCAGTACTTCTTCACAAGGTGTTGAACGAGTACGGGGAAAATGAAGGGAAAAAGACCGCTGTGGCCCCTCTGTTCTTCCTGGACTTTTAAGTAAACGAGCTATTTGCATGGAAGCCTTTACAGATTAAATGCACCTTCGAAAATGTGGCCTAGCAGAGAACAAGTGAGGCAGCAACACGAAAGACTGGATTCGGACTAAGCTGTTCCACGACCTTTTTTGTTATTATTTTAAACTGGCTTTGCCAGAAGGGAAGTGAACACACTCCATGGTTCCTGTTCACAGCAACCCTCTGGGAATGAGAGATTTGGAGTAGAGCTTCAGAAGGAAAAATCTTTTATTCCCCTCCCGCCCAGCCCACCAATTTGGAGCAGAGCAGGGGAAAGAGGAGCCATTGTGCCCAAAAGGCTGATGCCAGCGGGTGGAGATCCCAGGGCAGGTGGGAAGTCCTGTGCACAGTCCTAGCACACCGTAGCCCTCTCCTTTCTGGAGTAATTTAACAGGTACATATTAGATGTAAGTAATTCCTTTTTCTTTTTTTTTTCCCTCTCACAGGGCAGATTCTTTGTGCGGCTGCCCAAAGGTACAGCACAATAGGGAATTGTTTTATCAGCCAGTGGCAATGATTAAATAGGAGCCTACCAGAGTAAGAGCTTATCTGAAAAAAGTATTTTTCTAAATTTCCCCCTTCCTCCCTTGTTCGAGAATTCAATTTTGCTGAAGAAAACAAAGCAAAGGCCCGTTTCATGGTTTACCTATTACTGGCAGCTCTAGGAATACCCCACATATTTTCAGTTCAGTCCCACGCCTCTGAATTCTCTGAACTGTAACTACAAAGAGAAGTACCGGAGCCTCTTAAAAGCCTTGTTTGTGTATTCATTCAAATAAGACAAAAAATAGAGAACCTGAAATAAAATAACTTTCAGCTTTCTTATCCTGCTGTCAGAGTAGGCTTGAAATAGTCTGATTTCAGTGTTATGAACATAAGCACACATTAAGTCCATAGAAGTCTTTCTTTTTGCTTTGAATCGGGTTATATATGGCACAAAGAGGGAATTTTCCTATACCCAAAGGCCTGGGAAAATTTTTCAGTACCTAAGAGATGTTTAGGCATATTTGGCATAAAAATCAAATCAATGTAGAACTTCCAAGGGAATAATTAGTATTCAAGTAATTATTTCTATTGGGAAGTTAAAATGAAATAGCTTTATCTACAAAATAATATTCTCTTTAATTATGAAAATAAATGGGAATTCAAAGATATTTGTAGCTGGTTTTATTACTTATGAAGAATCATCTCACAATTCTAATTTATTCAAAAATTAAAATACCATGTAAATTGCTCCTCTTCCTCTAGCAAATGCAAAATCAATTTCAACCAAATATATGCAATGTGGGTCCCTCTACACAAGTAAATCAAAATGTTTGTTACATTCATGTAGTTATGCAAAGCATTGTAGAAAGGACTCCAGCATAATAAGTAAACATTTTCCCCACAACTGAGGGAGAAAGAGGCCTTTTAGTCTATGCACTTTCAAAATTAGGCTAGCCAAAACCAGGAAAAAGTACATGAGTGCATGATAAAGTCTTACAGAGTAATAAAGGAGAGAATCTTAAGAATGAGGAACACAGCCCTTTCCTAAAAAAACAAGAGCAAAGGATGTTTAGTACACTATGAAGGAGTATCTACATGCACTTTCTTCCAATATTCAATTAATCTGTAGAACGCAAGGAGAAGTAACATAGGGGGCAAAAAGACCTACTTAGTTTATAGAAAAACATACAAAACCACATGAAAATGCCTGGATATTGCTCTTATTAAAAGAAGGGACTTGAATTTCCATTCCCCAGCACCTAAGCTAGTTTCTGGATAGAGTAGAAATAGTAGCAAAACTTTGCAGAGAGACAGGTTAATTTTGTAGGCAGTGTTGACACAACACTTCAGTTAGCTTGTCCTTAACCTTCCAAAGTGCCTCAAATTATCTGTATCTGTATGTACATGTCCTTAGTTTTCTTTAAACTGCAGCTCTGATCTTCCAGGAATATTGTACTAACATTCCAGACCAGGGCCCTGGCACTTCCCAGCATGCCACGTTGACATAAAAAGCAACAACCACTCAAGTTTTGGGTATGATCACCTTCTAATCATACTTTCTGCATGCAAAGAGCTAAAAGGTGACTAGCTGGTAACATCTCATTTTTTACCCGCAAGCTCACCAAATTGTTCTCTGAAAAAAATACATATATATGAATCTTGAGATCTTCAGAAAGTCATGCCAACAATTCATTCTTGTATTTAAAGTAGAAGGAAAGGGAATTATAAGCACTAGTGTGTTACCCGCCATCTTCCAAAGCAAGTCACTCTGAATATTTTATTCTTCTCTGCGAAAATACTGCAGCACATAAGTGCTTTAAACCTCACCTTTAATTCAGATTTAGAACCCAGCTTTAACCATACCAGTCCATGGGTATAGTTTCAAATTAACATCTTAAAGGCAACAAGGAACGAGAGTTCCAGTGCTCCTTCTTGCCCTTTCTCACCTCTCTTACCCACCACTCAGCTCCAGTGTTTATCTTAAACAGTCTCCAGGATCTCATCTGATCTCCTTGTAAGCTGATGCAATCTATGCAAATTGGAACCCAGCAAAAAAAATTTGTTTATTTTGCTTTGGCTGATTGCTGAGATGAGTTGACTTACCTCAGGATCTGAAAAGTTCAGTCAGGCAGTGTGATTTCCAGAGCTGATGCAAGGAAGGAATACTAAGACAAAAAAGAGAGGAATCAAAGGAGAACTTGGAAATAGGGGGAAGAAGGAAGACTTCCCTTGGCTGAATGGTTATGTAGCTTGGCAGCTTAGCCTGTTCTAAGAGGGGGTTCACAAGAAAGGACTTCTTCTCGTCTAATGGCTCACTGTCTTTAAAAGTGAGGAGGTCTTACTACTTTCTCCAGCTACAGACTCCTGACCCTTTCCTTGTGCCAAATCAGGTTTTCAACAGGCTTTGTGCTCACACCATTCAGCTTTTTAAATGGATGGAAAACGGACTTGACACAGGAAACGAATAAACAGCTTTTTGTGGGCTAGGTAGTTAAATTGGCTTTTTGAGGTATCAGACAGTTGGCAGATCTGGTATGTGAAGACAGAAACAGGACGATGAGGCCAAGAATGTGGGAAGAGAGATGTGGGAGGAAGATGTCTTGTCTGAGCAGCCCCAAGCGGCTGGATTGGCTCAGCCACATTGTGTAACTTCATTCTGGCTGCAGCAGTGAGCAATGGAGACAGCAAAAGGTACCTTAGGAATAGGACAATTGCCCATTCCTTGCTCTGTGCATAGGGTGATTTGGGTACCTTGGCTTCCTCGTTTTAAACCTCATAAATATTGTGTCTTCTTGAATCAGCCAAATGTATGAATGAAAGACACTAGACCAGATGGTCCAGTAGTATAAGAGGGAAAGGTCAATATTGGGATTATAATCCACTGAAAGTCAGAAAAGTTGGTGATCAGTATTCAGAGAGGTTTAGTATTTGCCCTGCTCAATTTACTTGAGAAGATTTCCATAAGGAACTCAAGAGGACTAGTGGTTGATAATAAAATAGCAGATAAGGGTCATGTTGATGAGTTTGGAGCAATCTACTCAGAAGGAAATCTAAACAAACCTTTAAATTAACTGTCACATCTTGGACATGTAATTTATTTGGAACAATTCATTAAAAGCCTTAGGTTAATGTTCTATACTGTTAAAAGCAAAGCTAAACCAAAACAAACAAAAAAGAGAGAGTTAACAATTAATGAGAAAGGAATGCAGAATGAGTTGGAAAAGGTTGTTATGCCACTGCAAACTTTCACTCTGAATCTACATTTTGAATAACAGAGCCCATCTGAAGGAAGACATTGAGTGCATGGCAGGAGGAGTCTTGACATACAGAATAGTTTCATATGTGAAAGTACCGAGATAAGACTCTTGGCTCAGAAGGAATGTGAATATCTGATTAATTTAAAAGAGCTCTATGATAATCGTCGTCATGAAGAAAACAAACATGAAACAATTATTTCTCACACTGTAAATATAAGGACCTGCTGAAAGAAACAATCATAAAGCAAAGTTAAAATAAATACACATAAAAAGATTGTACTTTTAAGTAAATGGCTTGAAGATAGAAGTGCTATCTGACTACAAATAATGACAGAACTGCCATCTGACTGCAAATTTTGGAAAGGAAGAAAGTAGGAATAGTTAAAAAGAGAGATTAGCAAAACCATGGATCCTATGACCAAAAGAATTCAGAAAAATTGCTGTATTCTGTATCTTTATCACCTCAGTCCAGCTGTATTTCAAACTTCTTTTTCTTTTCCCTTCCTTTTCTTACAGCACACTAGCTACTGGCATGGCCTAAATACAGTAAACCTCACAGGTTACTTTTGACTTGCAGATTGGGTCCACATGAAGCATCACCTGGGCTGCTCTGCCCTCTTGGCAGCTCTGTCCTCTTGTAGAGGACTTCCATGTAAAG